TGCAGAGGGGGATCTTTGGTGGTCGTGGATGACTAGGTCTGGACGGCAGAATCTTGGCGGTGAGTGCCAATGACGGTCGTGGATCAAGTGATTGTTGTAACCGATGACATATTTATTGAGATTCTTAATACATAATAAAGCTGAAAAACGACAATCAATTAGAAACGGAAAGGTAGGTCCTTACGAGTTCATGTACATCGAAACCAAAATAGGTATTGATAATTAACAACTGAAGCAATAATATCAACATCCAATATCCACTAATCATAAGATGATGATAATACTACTAATAATAATATATAATATAATAGTAAATATAAAATACATTAACATACAATATCCGAATTTCGCACAACATTCCGTTACTCGAAACGACACCGTTTGAAATCCGTCACTGCTTGTGTGCTGTGTTTTACCTGGGTAAAAAAAAATAAAAAATTCCAATTTTTTTCCAATTTCACCGACCTATTTCTCCGTCTGTCTTTCGGGCTTAATCTTCCAGAAGAAAAAGAATCCATTTTTGCGCGGTGTTCGTCCAAAAACCAACTGCACAAACCCTCCGAATTTGCTGATATTCGCGAAGAATTCCACATTGAAAACGACAGGTGATAAAATATCTACCCACGATTTTCAATTGTGCGCGCGCGCGTGGCCCTCCCCCCACACATGGTTTCTTCTGCATGCACCCAAATTGAAAATCACCACCCCCACTCAGAAAAAAAAAAGTGATTGCGCGTATGGATATCTTATTCATTTTCTAATATGTGACCCAAGCGTGCAGAAATTCGTGGGGCCTTTTTCCTCGATTTTTTTTTCTTATCTTAATTTTTCCTGTGTTTCCTGGTTGTGATTCTTCTGCTGCTATCTTCACTGATTTTGGGGAATTCTGGGTTATTGTGAGATTTTTCAGCTGATTTTGAAGCAGGTTTCTTATGAGAGATTTGTTTAGGGTTTCTATTAATTGAAGGTACAAATTACAATGAACGCTTGGGGAAGAAGTGGATTTGTTCCAGTACAACTCTGTATTTTCGCATGGATTATTACTTGTATAGTAAATTGATGTTTTTACGAAGATCTGCTGTGTGTTGGAAATGGTGAAAGTTAGTTAATTTCAGAGGCCTTGATGCCTGGGTGATATGTCATCTGCATCTCCACCTCAAAATTCTCCGGTTGCTGCTGCTCCACCACCTAACTCTCTTAGTGAACCTCCAACCGCCGCAACTGAGCCACGACAGCCACCTCCTCCACCACCGGAAACACCTCCCATGGATTCTCTACCCCCAATATCAACTCCTCCTCAACCTGTAGCTCCACCTCCAAAATCGCCGTCGCCGCCCGATGGTCCACCAGCTGACTCGCCACCGCCACCTGTACCAACTGATCCTCCTCCCAATTCACCTCCACCTCCATCATCTATGCCGCCGGAAATTTCTCCTCCACCTCCGCCTCAGCCGTCAAATAGCACCCCACCTCCGCCTAAGAAATTGCCACCCCCACCATCACCTAAGCCTCCACAGATCCCCCCTCCTCCACCATTGTCTAAACCACCTCCCGAAAGTTCACTGCCACCACCACCACCACAGCCACCATCGCCACCGCCACCGCCAGTTTTGCCGCCCCCTAAGTCTGGAGCAACACCAGTTCCATCTCCCCCACCCCCAGCATATTCACCATCTTCAAATTCTCTTCCAAAGTCAGCACCACCACCTGCAATACAGTCAAAACCATCTCCGCCCATCGTTTTATCACCACCATCCCATTTTCCTCCTTCACCGCCCCATTCTCCTCCTTCACCGCCATCCGTAGCTCCACGAGATATTTCAAGAACCAACAATTCCAGTGGCAACGAAACGCAAAATTCACCATACTCGGGTAGTGGAAGCATTAGTAAGGGAGGCATTGTGGCAATTGTGTTGGTACTCATTTTCATAGTTTTGGGAATCGTTGGATCTTCAGCCTGTCGTGCATGGAAGCGGAAGAAAAAATCTCCCGGACATGGCAGTGGTTACATTATGCCGACCTTTCTTGGTTCTCCTCAAGAATCAGGTATACTTTTTCTGCAGTTGTATTTTAGATTTTCATTTTTTTGTGGAAAAAGCAATTTAAGAGGTAATCTGACCTCTGCTCAGATTCTGCCCTACTTAAGGTGCAAATGTCGGCACACAAAAATGGAAGTGGCTCGGTCAAAGGTATCGTCTATTCGTCCCACGACCGCATTGACTTTGTCAAGTCTAGGTCGTGTTTCACCTACAAAGAACTAGCTGAAGCCACTAACGGGTTTTCAGCACATAATCTCTTGGGTGAAGGTGGATTTGGGTATGTGTACAAAGGAAGCCTTGATGATGGTAGAGAAATTGCAGTTAAGCAGTTAAAGATCGGTGGAGGCCAAGGGGAGCGTGAATTCAGATCTGAAGTGGAGATAATAAGTCGTATACACCATCGCCATTTGGTTTCGCTCGTTGGTTATTGCATTCACGAGAAGAGAAGGCTGCTTGTGTATGCCTATGTTCCTAATAATAACCTCCACTTCCATCTTCATGGTAAAATCTTATGCTTAATGTTGTACGAATGTCTTTTTAGTGAAATTGTTATTGATATTATATAACTATTTTCAGGTGAAGGTAGGCCAGCTTTGGATTGGGCTACACGTGTAAAGATTGCTATTGGTGCAGCTCGCGGAATAGCTTACCTTCATGAAGATTGTAAGATGTTTAGTTCTTCTCACATTTCAAATCTTCAAAATTACCGAATTTTGGTCACCATTTTTTTTCAAAGTTCTTTTTATGATTTGGAATAGAGATCCGAAACTCGAGGCTGTTTTAGAGATTAATAATACAACATAAAATCTGTCATTTAATTATTTTGGAGTTGTACACTATCAATCTCCAATTTAATTTAAAGAGAAGGATATTGATATTTAAGAACCATGTTGGTTATTGGTTAATCGTCAGGTCATCCTCGTATCATCCATAGAGATATCAAGTCATCAAACATCCTTTTAGATAACAACTTCGAAGCTCGGGTATGTCCAGTTTCCGGCAAACTCTATTTATATTTTTGTCTCGCGGAAACATATTCCTAAAAATTTGCGTTTTAGGTTTCTGATTTCGGACTTGCAAAATTAGCTGTGGATGCAAATACACATGTGACCACACGCGTAATGGGTACTTTCGGGTGAGTTTTTGTCCAGAATTTGTCTTCAACAAATTATGGTAGTTAACTTAATCAGTTAATCTAATTCGGGAGCTGGTCTGTGTTTCAGGTATATGGCTCCTGAATATGCTTCCAGCGGCAAATTGACTGATAAGTCCGATGTATATTCATACGGGGTTGTGCTTTTGGAGTTGATTACGGGACGCAAGCCCGTAGATACATCTCAGCCCCTAGGAGAAGAGAGCTTAGTTGAGTGGGTAAGTTCATCGCACAAAGATTCCATTAACGACTCAAATCACTATGAAATCAAATGGCCTCTTCGTACTCTAAATGTAGCAGCAAAATCGAGAACTTTATTGTTTCTTTTTAACCTCTACCAAATTTGGGATTTTTTTCGTCAGCTTTTCTTGGAATACCTAATTATTGATGCATTTAGGGTCGACCTTTGCTTGGTCATGCACTCGAGACTCAGGATTTTGAAGGGTTGGCAGATCCAATGCTTGAAAGGCAATATGTCGATAGTGAAATGTTCCGGATGGTTGAAGCTGCAGCATCGTGTGTTCGCCATTCATCCGCAAAGAGACCTAAAATGGGACAGGCAATAATAACAATTTCTTTTACAGCAATATTTCTAGATTTTTATTGAAACATTCCCTCGATATATATATATATATATATATATACACACACAATTTTTTTTTATGGAGTTGTGCCGATTTTTGTGAACGGGTTTTTTTTTTCTTTTTCCAGGTGGTTAGGGCTTTGGACTGTATGGATTCCACGGATTTGACAAACGGGATGAGAGTGGGCGAGAGTGAAATATTTAACTACAGTGATCAATCTGCAGAAATTAGATTGTTCCGGAGAATGGCGTTTGGTAGTCAAGATTATAGTACAGGTTTTTACAATCAAAATAGCTGGAGTAGTGGCAATCAGGTAAATAGCAGGAGATTATGATATTAATGCAATGAAAGATGGAATCTTGATGTAAATGCAGTGGCAGTTCTTTTTGTATGTAGTTTATATCATTAGTTAGGTTTTTGTGAGTTGTTGATTTCTGTTCATGTTAATTTTATATATATAACAAGATATATTTCTTTTAATATTCTTTTTTATTGTTAAAAAATATATACATTAATTATGATTAAAATTAGTTGCTGTAAATAATCTTACATGAACTGGCAGAAATTCAAGATAGTCTTAGGAAGCTGCATACTTCATATTCCTGTCGGCTGTCGGTGGTGCTATAATAAATATAAAACACAGTGATTCAATCAGTGTCTGTGTTTGCCAACCAGTGTGCACATTTTTCAGATTCTCTTTTGGCTTAAATTAATTCATATTTAATTATTGGAAGAAAAAAGATCATGTTTTTTTTTCTGGAAATAGAAAAGTAATTACAATTTTGTTGTTGAATATCTTCGAAAAATCGAAATCTTGGAATGAAAAGAATTGTTCCAAAGTCGGAATTTTTGGATCGCGGAAATCAGATTCATTTGTACCATAAAATACAGAATTTATTGCATGATTTGAGTAAATATTTAGGATCAAACACATTTAATGCAGTTGGAGTTAACACATTGATTTCTTACTTATTACTTATTCAAGTTGCATTAATTTATGCACTACAAGTTGATTTATTTATTTATTGTTACCTATTCTAGCTACATTAAATGGACTGATTTAATTACAGAACTAACATAAGAAGTAAATAGCGTGTGTTTGTGTGATCTAACTTAAACAAAGAATAATGAGAAGAAGAAAAACAAATTAATTAATTTAGGAAGGAATGAGTTTTCATAAGTGAAAAAGATTATATAAATTAAATAAGCTAAATTAGATTATTTGATCTAGTTAAAATAAATTTTATATATTTTAAATTCCTCTTTTTTTAAAAACTTCACTCGTATCCAATTATGAAGGGGTAAATTACGGTAACCCCAAGATAAGGTTAAATTACCAAAAAAAACATCTATTGTTTGGATAATTACGACCAACCATTAACTATGAATCTTTTTACACGTCCACTATTGTGATGTCAAATTTTAGTGAAATTTTAGATATTATGGAATATTCTCCAGTTTGTAAACGTTTCACGCCACTCGAGCTCCATATTTTGGCTTATAAATATCAGATTGTGGTGCATCAGAAACTGTATTTTTGCACAAAACGAATACAAACTGGAGAACATTCCACGGAATCTAGAAAATTATGTTGAATTCGACACCGCAGCAAGGATGGACGTGTATGAAGATTCGTAGTTAACGTGATGGTTGTAATTACCCAAATAAGATGGGGTTTTTTCGTAATTTAACATTACCTCATGGAAGTAACCGTAATTTACCTTTTCTTCAAAGTTGATAGAAATAAAGTGCGAAATAATTTACCAAGAATAGGTCACACACACAAACACTACTTCATTCACACTCCCATTATATTTTGCAATTAAATATTCTTATCTTTTTTATTATTATTTATTTAATTTTTTGTTGACAATTTGACTTTCCATAAATCCACGCGCTTTCTTTCTGTTTTGTATCTATCATCCATTGTTACAAATTGAATCTTTCAAAAAGCAAGCACAACCCCACAACCTTAAACACACCAAAAAAAAAAAAAAAAACAAACTTCATCGGCCATTATTCAATCTCTCTCTCTCTGCGGCATTTCGTCGAACACCATGATGGCTAAGATGCAGTCGGAACAAATCAAGCAGCTGAAGGACATCTTCAAGCGGTTCGACATGGACCACGACGGCAGCCTGACGCAGCTGGAGCTCGCCGCCCTCCTCCGCTCCCTCGGCCTCAAGCCCAACGGCGACCAAATCCACGTCCTCTTGGCCAACATGGACGCCAACGGCAACGGGTCAATCGAGTTCGACGAACTTGTCGAGGCCATTCTCCCCGACATGAACGAGCAGGTGCTGATCAACCAGGATCAGATGATGGAGGTTTTCCGGTCGTTCGACCGCGACGGCAACGGCTACATCACGGCGGCGGAGCTCGCCGGATCCATGGCGAAGATGGGACACCCACTCACGTACAGAGAGCTGAGCGAGATGATGCGGGAGGCCGACACCAACGGCGACGGCGTCATCAGCTTCAACGAATTCGCCAACATTTTGGGGAAATCCGCCGTTGATTACCTCGGATTGTCCGTCTCCTAGGGCTTTTTTCTTCTGCCGGAATCAAGGTTGTTTCTGATTTTGAGTATTATATGATGATGTTCTTCACGATAAAAATGGCATCTTGATTTTATGATGTTACTTTTCGAAACAACCCTAAAAAAAAAAAAAAAAGAAAAAAAAAAGGAATTCATTTTCTTGATGATGACATCAATGGCGGCTTGGTGGTCTAAATTAATTTTTATTTTTTATTTTTTTTAATGATGTAAAAGACTGATGCTTTTTTCTTTTTTTTTTCTTTAATTAGTTTCTTTAGTTTAGGCATTTCTTTGTACATGAACTAATGGAAATTGCCAGAATTTAGCAGCAAGCTGTACCATATTATTTATAATTGATGTTAATTTAATTCCATGTATTGATTGGCTGATGATTCTAACAACTCCCATATTATCTTCTTATTGTTTTAATGCCAATATATTGACTTTGCACTTGTCTTCTTCTTCTTCATGGAAAAATGTAGTCTTTTTTGTCATTTCATATTGTATCTCATCTTTTCTTACCAGCCCTCTTGGCTGTTATAATAAGTACAGGTCAGCAATTCTAATCACTGTGTGTTGTGTGTTTGTTTGACTTATTCTGATGCTGTTTTTCTGTTATTCAAACAAATTGTTGTCAAGAAAAAAAGAAAAAAAAATTTGATCTTTATATCAGAATCACAACATACAATTTATCTCACTTGTGTAATATTCTCGAGATGCCGTATTGTACAAGGTACAAAGATCGAAAGAAATGTACAAACTAGTGCAGCCAAACCGATACATAGTTTGTACAACATACGATACAATCAAAATCTATACACTTATATGCAGACTCCTAGGTTTGTACTTGACAAACGAAACGAACCACCGCCACCGCCACCAATATCATGTACAGCCAGAATTTTATCTACATTTAAAAAAAAAAGCCCGTTTCTTGAAAACAGGGCCCGGAGGGGACGGAGGATGTTATCTACTTCTCTGATTTTTATTATCTTTCAAAGGGCTTGTTCTTGCCAAAGAACGAGCAGTCAAACCGACAGTTGTCGGTCTGATAGACCTTTGCCTCACAATTTCGCAGTACCCCGGATCCTCGATTTTACCCTCGTACCTTATCCACTGGATCATGCCATGGTACATCGGAAAGAATCTCATCTGAACGGCCTTGTACGCAAAATAAGGCACAAGCGCCGAAACTACAACGAAAACCGTCACTAGATAGAAAAACGGGGTCGGTGCTAGGGTTTCCACGAAAACCTTATACCCCGTTGTGGATATCTTGGGGGGCATTGCCCCGTAGGCCAATAGGAAGAGATACCATGCGGCCACTCCGCCCCATATGAAGACGTGCTGGATAAGCGTGAAGTAGCTGATCGCTAGCGCCATCTGGCAGTTTACTACCCAGACGACGCACGTGTACATTGTTGCTCCGAGGATTTGGTACTCTGCGATCTTGCCTTGTTTGTTGAACCCTTGCGGGCTTAGTGTCTTTACGCAGAGGAAGAAGATTATGACTGCGCTGCATACACCGTTGAGCATCCAGCCAATTATACGCCGCCAGCTGAATAGGACGTTTTGCATGCCTTCTTGGTATAGTAAAGGGAACTGCTCCGATCCCATGTTGTAAGAAAGTTTAGCCAAAGAATCAGAAACAATATATGGATCGGTGTTAAATGTCGTTTCGATTTTAGTTAAATGTGGTTTTGACCATTTTTTATTTAGTTTGAATTTTGCAAAACTCAAAGCACCAAATTTGTAGCCCTTACAGTCGGCTTTCTAATAAAATATGAATCGGTTAAATCAGATGTCGGGTGAGAGAGTTATGCATGAATGAAGTATTGTCTAAATTAAAGTTGTAGCCACTGCTCATTCATGCATAACTCTCTTTCACCTGACATCCAATCTAACTGATTCAAGTTGGATTAAAAAGTCAAACTTAAAGGACTATAGTTTTGGTGTTTCGAGTTTCAAAGTCGGAACGGAACGAATAAAATTCAGACGGCATTTACAACCTATTCAAACTCGAATTAATTTTTCAAAAAAAAAAAAAAAAAGCAAACCTTTAGACAATATGTAGCGGAGACATCTTGGTCGAAGACCCCCATAGCAATCACGGGTAATGAAGTGAAGAAAACGTTGTAAAGGGACAAAAACCAGTCATTATACGCAGGTTGTCCGGAAAACGATGCGGCTGCCTCGTATAAGAACACCGTGAAGCCGAAGGTGACATTCTTATAGAAAAAGTAGCAAATCTGCACCAATTATTTTTAAGTTTTTATATAAAGTGTATATGTATGTGTGTGTGTGTGTATATATATATATATATATATATATATATATATATATATATATATATATATAAGTACCATTGAAGAGATTCTATCTGTAGCACCAATGTCCATGCACCAGAAGCAACCGCTCCAAGAATCGGAACTGGGCAATTGCTATATCACTCGACATTACAGCCTGATAATAAAAAAATCGCAAAAAAAAAAAAAGAAGGAAAAATTATACAAGATTACGAAATTCTCACTCAAATCATGAAAATCTGAAACAAAAAAAAAAACGATCTTTTTCGTCACCTGCATTCCTTCGACACCACTGATTCCGATTCCAATATCTGCTTCTTGAAGCATTCCGACATCGTTGGCTCCATCGCCTATCGCCAGAGTGATCTTCTTTGTTCCTTCTTTGACAAGTCTTGTGACCTGTTTGGTTTCTTAGCAATTTTAGTTATGGTAACAGTAAAACAGGCCACTCGTACGACATTAAAAATAAATAAAAAATAAAAAAAAAAAACAAAAAAAAAACTATACCAATGCCTTCTGTTTTGGAGACGAGCGGCAACATATTACAGATGCACAGCCGATTGCAAGTTCAAGGAACAATTTTTTTACGTCTTCGTCTAATGCATACGCAAGTGATTTCCCGTCGATAATCAAAGCAAGAGCCTCAGAGTTCAAATCATCGACTTGATTCTTCCCTTCAGTAATCTGCCTAACAACACTTTGCTTTGAAGCCTGATTAAAATCGAAACAAACCCATTTCGCTATTAGGGTCTTACTTTTTATCCGCATTTCGCACATTTTTCATTCCACCGGAAATCAATTTACCTTGGCAATTACGTCGTTATCTCCCGTTTTTTCCAGAGCTGCGATCTCTGGTTTGTCCAATGTAATAGTTATTTGTTTCATTCCTTGTCTAAGCAAGCTACATGCATATCTGCAGAGATTGATCCATTTTTTCGTGTCGGATTAAATTTTCAAGAAATCGGGATAATGAGATTATATTTAATTACCCGATATTAATGGCGGTTTCCATCTTATCGCCAGTCAAAACCCATATTTTTATCCCTGCTTGAGCAAGCTTGTCTATGCATTCAGGCACCTGTAGCCCAAACTTAAAAAAAAATCAGAATTTTATTAAATTCAGACAAAATTTTAATAATGTCTTAATAAACTCACCCCTTGTTGGAGCTTGTCTTCAACGGCAGTTGCACCGAGAAGAATCAAATCTTTCTCTATTTCTTCAGTCACTTCGTCTATGTGAGCCCCACGGTCGACACTGACCGAATTCTTGGCCTCCAGAAACTTTTCTTCGAACAAATTATACTCTTGTTCACCGAGTTTTCGATAAGCAAGAATCAAAGTCCTCAATCCTGCATCAGCATACTCGTTGACATGTTCTCTCGTTTCGTTTTCGTATTCTCTTCCATTTTCAGCCAATCTCTCAAACATCACACTGCAAAATCGAGCCATAACAGTGACATTAAAATATATCGATTTTTTCCATAATAAACTAATAATCGAATTTTTACCAACCTGTCGGCACCTTTGCAGAGCAATAGTAGATTTCCTTCCTCGTCCCGTACTATAACCGACATTCTTTTTCTTGAACTATTAAATTCTATAATATTCAACAGTTTGTACGACCTTTTTACACTCTCTCCGATAACGGGGCACAACTCATTCACATGAACACTCGTCTGCGTCCTTTTAAAGAACTCAAAACCGAACTCTTTAGCGGCAATAACAAACGCAGCCTCGTCCGGTGACTCAGCTTCGTACGTAACTTTCCCCGTATTTTCATCAATATCTGGAATTGCTGTATGACAGATCGCAAGCAATCGAAAGAATTTCTCTACAACATCTGAGCGGGGCCCGTTAACCCAATTCCCGTTCATGATTCTCTCGTCGTCGAAATTGAACCCTTTGATCGTGGATCGAATCTGAGAACTGTTATACGGAGACCCTTTTCTCTTCGCCATAGTCTTTTCGACTTCAGTCACACCGTAGCCGTAAGCAATGCCGGCTATTGAGCACTTGATGAACTCCATTGAATTACAAGTCAAAGTGCCTGTCTTGTCCGAAAGAATCGTGTCCACCTGTCCTAATTCCTCGTTCAGATTCGAGGTCCTTGTACGAGCTGGCTTGTCGGTTTCTTCGTAGTACATATTAACATCTTGGTTGATGAAAATGCTCTGCAACACTTTGACTATTTCAATCGAAACGTATAAAGAAATCGGGATTAAATAGCTGTATAGTAACAACGCTGTCAGGAAATGAAACACGGCAGCAAACGTGGCTCGTTTCGGATCGAAAAATACGTTAGCATCGTCTGGCCTTAGGTACCACCTTCTGCCCGAGTCGTTTTTCGTCACGACGCCGAAATAAACGGACCCCACAAAAGCCATCAAAAACAGAACGCCGAATAATAAGTAGACGATTTTATCCATTTTCTTCTCGATCTTGCTTCTCTTCGAGGGAGGTTCGGTCGAGTTTTGGATAACCTTTGTGTCGTGGCCCGTGAAAATAACTGCCCCGTAAATATGATCGGTGTTTCTTAATTTTGAGTCTCGAAGGAGAAGCTGTTGAGGAGAGAGAGGGTGTTGTTGCTCTTCGAATTCCATAGTGCCGACGAAACTGTAAAGATTTGCGTTTGGATCTTCGCATTTGATTGTGGCTCGGAAATCTTTTAGGTCTTCCTCGTTTAAGGATGATGTCACTTCTAAGGCTTGTTTGAGTTTCAGATTCGTTTCGCCGTCGAGATTCATCGTCTCAACGTAGCAGACTGCGTTTTCGTAGCTTGAGGAAAGTAGAATCAAATCTGCCGGAAAGAATTCGTCTTTTTCCACTTTGACAATGTTTCCCACTTTCAGATTTTTCCATTCGGTTTGGCTGAACTTTCCGGAACCTTCGTGCACTTTGACTTTTCTGTTGTTGACCTCAATGTCCTAAATGTTGTATGTGCAAACATCATTATCATATATCAACCAGAACGTACGAACTTTCTTGTCCGTGTAAAAAAAAAATTATTTTTCTTTTATGGCGGATATTTACTGTAATCCTAACGAAAACGAATTAGAAACCGCAAAAAAACTACTTCATTAAAGTGGTTTTCAACATATTAAAACCCAATACGCAAGTATGGAAAAACAAGCGAAGCAAACAGTTAAAAACTCGATTTTCTTCGATTTTTTCAGCTGTCAAGAACATTATTAATACACTACCAAAAAAAAAAATGAATATCAATGTCATAAACATCATATAAAGATACGAAAACTCGTATTACAAAAAAAATTAAAGCCACCAGTCGAACATTCCGATTTTCTTGAAAACATTTCAACTGTCAAGAACATCAATACACAACCAAAAAAAATGAATATCAATGTCATAAACATCGTATAAAGACACGAAAACTCGTATAAAAAAAAATTAAAGCAAACAGTCGAACATCCCGATTTTCTTGAAAAAATTTCAACTGTCAAGAACACTAATACACAACCAAAAAAAAAACTGAATATCAATGTCATGAACATCGTATAAAGATATGAAAACTCGTATTACAAAAAAAGTTAAAGCCAACAGTCGAACATTCCGATTTTCTTGAAAAATTTCAACTGTCAAGAACATCAATACACAACCAAAAAAAAAAAACTGAATATCAACGTCATAAACATCGTATAAAGACTCGAAAACTCGTATAAAAAAATTAAAGCAAACAGTCGAACATCCCGATTTCCTTGGAAGTTTTTCAACTGTCAAGAACACTATACACAACCAAAAAAAAACACTGAATATCAATGTCATAAACATCATATAAAGATACGAGAACTCGTATATAAAAAATAAAAAATAAAAGCAAACATTCAAACATCCCAATTTTCTTGAAAAAATTTCAACTGTCAAGAACATTAATACACAACCAAAAAAAAAAAACTGAATATCAATGTCATAAACATCATATAAAGATACGAAAACACGTATACAGTCGAACATCCCGATTTTCTTGGAAAATTTTCAACTGTCAAGAACATTAACACACAACCGGAAAAAGAAAAAAAAACCGAATACCCAATGTGGAAAGTAAACTACCTGTTGTTTACGACGCCAATCTTCGATACCTTCCTTAACCATGGTAGCACCGATAACGAAAACGAGAGGCACGATAGCACTGACTGCAGAATAAGGTGCAAGGGCAGTGAAAGAAAGAACACCAGTCACCAGAAAGAAGAAATTAGCCACCCTCCTAAACTGCTCAAACAGAGATTTCGGCAAGAAAGTTGCACCTGTGTACTTTGTTGTCCTAACATAATTTTTCGCATAATACCCAACACTACTACCATTTTCTTCTTCCTCTCCTGCTCCCTTATTGCAGACAACAATTCTTGAAAAACCAGGCCCCCCAATCTGTGACTGTTCGTCTTTCGACGACGATGATGATTGTCCTTTCCCACGTTTGAATGAGTAGATCTTGCTGAAACTGAACTTCTTCTTTCTCCCAGTATTTTTCATCCTTAAAATCTCCAAAAGCAAAAAATTAAAAAATAAATAAAAAATGCCCAGAAGATTTAATAAGGATATCTGTTCTTGGGCTTCTCTCTCTCTCTCTTTGAATACTCAAATACCTAGAAGGGAATCAGAGGGGTTTACTTACACCCAAACCACCTTGTAATAAACAAATATATATATATATATATATATATATATATATTTCTCAGACAAAAACTAACCCCAAGAATTTTGTACCAACCCCCAGTTGTCAAAAGAATTATTATAGAAATAAAAATTGATACACAGAAGAATTTCACCAAATATATCAGCAGAGGCTCAAATTAAAGAAAGAGGAGTTATACATACAAAAGGGTTTACATATATTTATACACACACACACACACACAAAAATGGGTGTAAGAAACACAGCAGCCCAGAGATTCTAGTTGGCTTAGTCAACCTTAAAATCTCAAAAAGATTCAATCTTTACAATGCCCTCTGAATTTAAATAAGAGGGTCTGTAGGAATTATCCAAAAAATTTGATCTTTTTCCAATGGCATAAGAAAAAAAAATTGAAGGAGGGAGAAATGGGGGAAAAAGATCCAAAAAGATTGGGAATTTTTCGCGGGAAACATTCCAAGAATGCTTTCTCTCTCATTTAAGTTATTTTTCCTGTTTCTGGTTGGTCCTCTCTCTCTCCTCTCTCTCTCTGTCAAAAAGCCAGCTCCACAGAGGACAAAAAGAAAAACACAGAGGGGAAAAAAAAAATTGTATAATAATATATTATTACATGCACGTCAGTGCTTGTTCGATTAAACTACTGATTGGGGGAAAGAAAAAATTGATTCTTTTGTGAAAAAAATAAAATTATTTAATTATGGGAATAATTGGGGGATCACTCTCCTGTATATTATTGAAAGTGATTGGTTAGTTGAAGAAATTAGGGTGTACAATTTGACGTGAGGAAGGGGTTAGAATTGAGGCCACGCGCCGCCGTACGTGGCGGAGGGAGGCTTTGCAACGCATGTGATGACATAACTATATACAGTCAATTTGCTATTCTATAGTTTCCAACTGCATGATTAAATGTCACCTTACCAAGTACCAAACCCCCCCCCCCCCCCACCGCGAAGAGAAAAAAAAAACCGAGGAAAAAAACCTTACCTGAAAGAATCAGAGCAAAAAACCCCGGGGGGGGGGGGG